TGATAAAGATCTCTATTTCAACTGCAGAGCTGATAATCACTATATCAGTGATTATAAGAAGCTGAAGAAGAAAAGAAACTGAGAAGATATCTTCTTAAAATCAACTTCTCTTCTGATAAATGTATTCATGAAAGATAAAGAAGAGAAAGAAATGAAGAATTGATAATTCTCATATCTTCAAGTTCATATTATGATTACAATGTATACTCTGAATAGAGAGATATTAGTAAGATATCTACTCAACTTCAGAGCAGATATTAATTTCATATTCTATTTCTTTTCTTTGATAAAGAGTTGAAAGAAGATAGACTTATTAGATTATACAAAATTTACTGATAATATAAAATATTATCATTTTAACATAATTTAAGTGAAGTGTGTAATCACAGACTTAGAAGAAATCTTCAAGAAGAGCAGTCTGCTTCTTCACACAGTTAATATTATAGATAAGAATGTTATTCTAGATCTTTTATAATTGAGAGAAAACAATTCTCTCATTGACTGAGTCACTCAGATGTGATAATACTGTCTTACTAATGAAGAGACAGTGATAGAGAAATCTGAAGAGTTTCATCAGAAGAATCTTGAGAAAAAGATAGAGTCAATATACTATATAACAGATAATTGAGACTTGAAAATAGATGAAGAAGTCATCACTCTCACTGCAAGATTAGCAGCAGTATTCATCATTAAAGATGAATATACACAATGTCTCTTTATAAATTATAAGAATATCTTTTCAGAAAGAGAAGCAGTGAAGTTTTCTGATATCAAGATATAATATAAGATTTATCTTAAAGACAGTGTAACAGTGCTGTATGAGCCTCTTTACAACTTATCTATAAAGGAATTGAATGTTCTGTATAAATATCTTGAAGAAGTGCAATCAAAGAACTGAATACACTTATCAAAGAGTCTGACAGAGACATCTATACTCTTTATACTTAAGAAGAATGATAGACTATGTCTATGTATAGACTACAGAGATCTTAATAAGATGATGATTAAGAATTACTATTTATTACTGTTAATTAACAAGATGATTGATTGATTATCTAAAGCAAAGATATTCTCAAAGATTGATATACAGAATATCTATCATAGAATCAGAGTTAATAAAGACAACATTTAAAAAACAGCTTTTCATACCAAGTACAGCAATTTTGAATATCTTGTTTTATCTTTTGATCTTTGTAATACTTCAGCTATCTTTCAGATCTATATAAATGAGACACTGTAGAGTCTTGTTAATATCTTCTATATAGTATATCTGAATGACATTCTAATCTTCTTGAAATCAGAGAAGGAATATGATACTTATATTCAAGAAGTATTGAGTCACTTGAGACAGTATTAACTCTATATAAACACTGAAAAATGCTCATTCTACATGCAGAAGATTGATTTCTTAGATTATATTATTAAGATAAACAGCATTTCAATGAACAGAAGTCAGGTCTTTATCATTGAGAACTGGCCAGTGCTGCAGACATATCACAAGATGCAGATATTTCTAGAATTTACAAATTTCTACAGATGATTCATCTATATATATTCACAGATTACTGTCTCTCTTACAGATCTGTTAAAGAGAAGTGTGAAAGATAGAAAAATAAGACTGTTTACTCTCACTCAGAACACTGTACAGATATTTGTGAAATTAAAACAAGCTTTTACAGATGTTACAATGCTGAATCACTTTAACTCTGACTTATTCAGTCAGTGTGAGACTGATGCATTCAGAAATGAAATCTGTGAAATCTTTTCACAGTTGATATCAGAGATCTTTCAATGTTGAAAGAATCAGAGAATAATTATCTCTGAGAAAACAGATAATAAATTGTCTGTGAGAGAAGACTTTTTCACAGAGTCTATAAGATACTGTGAATAAAGATCAGTGATCTTCTTCTTCAAGAAGTTATCACTTATACAGAGAAGGTATGATACTCATAATCAGAAGATGTTAGTAATTATCAAATTCTTTAAAATCTGATGATATTATCTTCAGAGTAGTAAGTACTCAGTGTAAGTTCTCACTGATTATACAAATCTGCATTACTTCTTGACAACAAAGAGCTTGATAGAATATCAAGTCAGATGAACAGAGCTGCTTTCAGAGTATAATTTCTATATTTAATACTGTTCAGATCAGCTTAACTCTGCTAATATATTATCTAAACAGTCTGATTATAATATTATTAATACAGAGAAGAATTCTATAAAAGAATCTGTGTTATCACTGTAGAAGAAGCTGACTGCAGAGGATTGAGATTCTCTAAAGCTCAGAAACAGCACTGATAAGACAGCTGCATGACTTAGTATAGAAGATGAAAGAAAACCTGAGTCTCTGTAGAGAACTGACACTGAAGATTATAAGCTTCTTATATCATATCTTACTATTATTGAATTGATAAAGAATGAAACAATCTACAATCTTTTAACTTAACTACTTTTGAAATTTATTAATAAGTTATAGAAGAGAAATATCTCTACTACAGCTTAAATTCAGAAGTTGAAGAAGAAAGAATCTGATTTAAACTTGAAAGAGACAGACTCTGAGCAGAGCAGTATTACTAAGAAATTAAGTCACTGATAACTAGAAGAATATGAACTTTTACTGCTGAATAATTCAGTCTTTATCTCTTATAGCAGAGCAGTGTGTCAGAAGTTATTAAGAATTCATTATAATAATTTTCATATAAGACACTTTAAGTTAGAGAAGACTGAGAAGCTTCTAAAATATAAATATATTTAAAACAAGCTCTGAGCAGATGTTAAAGAGTATATTAAGACTTATAATATCTGTTAAAAGATAAAAATCTCACAGTATAAGTAATACAGTAAGTTGATATCACTATCTGTTTCAAAGAGCTTATAATAGAATCTATTAATAAATTTCATAGTTGACCTGCTGAAGTTGATAAGAGTCAAAGAATATGACTCAATTTTGATTATTATTAACTGTTTCATAAAGATAATCAGATATATTTCTACTTATAAAAAGATTAAAGCCTCTGAATTAACTGATCTGTTTTTAAATATCATCATTGATAATCACAGTGCTTCAAAATCATTAATAATAGATTAAGAATTCCTCTTCATCAGTAAATACTGATCAGCTTTTTACTATTATCTTATAATAAGATATCTTCTCAGTACTGCATTTCATCTGCAGATCAATGACCAGACTAAATATCAGAATCAGACACTAGAACAGTATCTTCAAGTGTTCTGTTCATATCATCAGAATGATTGACTCAAACATCTTCTAACTACTGAATTTGTATATAATAATATAAAGAATGTAATCTTAAAGATATCTTCTTTCTATGCTTATTATGAATATAATTCTTTGTTACTCAGTGACATCATAGACAATATTTTAAAAAAAGAAATAGATAGTCAGAATATTAAATAGATACAGAGAACAGAGTATTTCTCAGTATCAGAAGTAAAAGTAAGATTACAACTTTTGAATAAAATTTATAAGAAGATGATGAAAAGTATTCATTATATTCAGAAGCAGTAGATAAAATACTATAATTAAAAACATCTTTTAATAAAGTTCTTAATAGAGAATTAAATACTACTTTTAGCAAAGAATATCAAGACAATGAGATTATATAAGAAGCTCAGTGAGTGATGACTAGAATCTTTCTCAGTAACAAGAGTAATAAGTAAACAGATATATAAGTTAAAATTATTCTCAGAATTGAAATTAATTTATTCTGTTTTTCATATTTTCTATTTAAAGCTCTATAAGTAATATCTTAGAGTAAAGTCATCTCAGCTGAATAATATTAAGATTAAGAGTGATACTGAATATCTTATAAAGAAAATATTGAATAAGTGAATATATTACAGTAAACTTTAATATCTTATTAAATGAGAAGATTATTCATTATCAGAGAATTTATAAGAATCACTTAAGTATTTGAAAAATGCTGAAAAAGAGATTATAAGCTATGAGATAACTAGTAGAGATTATCTTATTACATATCAGAGATATTGAATAAGAAATACTGCTTAAGACTTCTTATTTTTCTCAAAGAATTTTTTAGAGATAATTTTATAGTAGTGAGCTGATATCTTATAGACTCTGTAGCACTCTTCTTCTATTTTCTCTCAAAGAGTTTTTTAGAAGTTTAATAAGACTATATAAGTGTAAAATTCCTGAAGCAGTTAGAGAAAAGAAATATTAAAAATTAATAAAAAGATTAATATTATTAATCTGTGAACTGCTGCTATTCTAATAGAGCTGCAGCTCACTGAAAAAGTAAAAAGAAGAATCAGAGTCTACTCATTAATAATTATATTCTTATCAAACTCATTCTTTATCATTGAAGTCTCTGACACTGATATCTTTATCTGCTAAGAAGTTAATACTGTAGTACTGCAGAGAAGTATACTGTAGAAGAGTATAAGAGATATTGAAAGTATTAACTTATTAACTTATAAAGTATCTTAGTTATCTGCTTCAACTGAAGTAAGATTCTCTTTAATCAGTGATTAATCTTTATAATACTTTTAACAGCAGTATCAGCTGATTTCTTCTTAAGATTAGTTATTCTGAGATATTTTTTCATCTCAGAGATTCATGCTTTCATCTTCTTTTACAGATAAGTAAGAGAAATCTTCTCAGTCTTAATAGAATCTATCAATACTTGAAGCTCTGAGACTCTCACTCTGTACTGCTTAAGTATCTGAACTTCTTATCAGAGCTGACACAATGTCTTCTTATAGAGTAGATAATACTTATAGAAAGATAGAAGTTATTGTTACAAGTACAATAGAAATAACAGAAGTAAGAGAAGAGATAGATATATAAGATTTCTCTCTTCTTCAGCTGTTTAGTATAGTACAGACAAGTGACAGTGCTGATCAGAGATTATATCAGAGCCTTCTTACAGAGAGAAGACAAAGAAATCACAGAACTCTGTAGATTCAACTCAGCAGTATTCTGAGCAGGGCTCAGACATACTGTGAGAGAGAAACTACAGATTGAGCTTCTTGAAGTCACTGTTCTCAGAATCAAGCTCTTTCTGAGTTCCTCTCTGAATGACCACACAGGGTTATATGCCACTGTGTTAGCTGGGGGGGGAGGCAGTGTTGCAACAGTGCTGAAGAGGGTAGAGAAAGAACTGAATATGAATGAACTGACTGGCAGAAGAAATGACACCTCACTGCAAGGCACAGTGACTACTGCCGCGGCTGTAAGAGATGCAGAAGAAGAAGAAGGTGTGACAATGAGAGCAGTGCTCTCACAGCTCATTGACACTGCTGTCTCCATCTTCAATCTGGCTTTCTTAGTGATCACAGAGACTGCAGCTGCATCATGAAGATGTTTACTCACTAGAAAACATCAGAATAAGCCCCTTATTATCTCTCAAGAATGATGCTCTCATGCACTCACTATTACAGATGAGAGAAGGGGAGAAAAATATGTCACAGAGAGAAGAGATCTTTTCAAAAAATCCTGTCACTACTGTTAACTTTATCTCTAAAATACACCACTTTTGCAGAGAATTTCATATATAGAATAGAATATAATGAGAGATCTGTAAGTCACTTATTAATTACATTTTTTATATTTTAAATTAATATATCAGGAACTCACTTATCATGTATTTAATTTAAATGAAGATAAGAAAAGAAAGATCTACATAGTCAGCAGAAAAACTCATCTATTTCTTTATACTATACACAGTATACACACTGTCAAATCAGTTGATAACTGTTACTATATAACAAAGATAATTTCTAATCTGATAGTCTTAAGAGTATTGAGACTATACTCTTAAAGAGAAGAGTATTGTTATATCTCTGACTGTGTCAAGACCTCACTGCAATTTCATATAACTCATCACTTTTATACAGATGATTTCATTCATCTCACAGACTGTCTGAACTGGTTTTCAATCACTCTATAATATTATTCAGATATATCATAGAAAGATTCAATTGATGAATATGAGAACCTCACTTCTATATAAGATTAGTAGATTACTCTTTCTTAATAATAAGATATCACTGAGGTATCACTTCAGCTATTCTCACTTATGAAATGAGAGGAGAGTATTCACTCATTATCTATATAAAATAGCTAGATACTGACTTCTCATCAAAGAAGTCAGTAATTCATTTTTCTTCTACTGAAATATATATAAGAGTTACTGCATGTCTCATACAATCTTCTTAGTATACTAAGTACTATATCTGTGATATTCTCACAATAACTCTGTAGCCTACAAGCTCACTATTCAAGCAAGATAGTCAAGCTCACTTATACAGCTTCTCAAACAACTATCTCTATATAACACCGCCGACTAGTCACTGCTTCGGTTCCGTCATGTTACATACAATATCACTTCTTCTGTCATTCTGAATGCTGAAGAGAAGCCACTGAAGTGATTCTTGTAAAACCTAATAGAAAAACTTCAATTTCCAAGTTATATAGAGTAATATCTCTATTGAACTGTCTAGAAAAGGTTTTAGAAAAGATAATAGCTACTTAACTATTTTTTATAAGCTCTATCAGTAATTCTCTTTTATTCAGTGAATAAATGAGAGGTAGAAAACAGTGTTCTGCAATTGACACTGTTCTCTCAGTTGTTCATGATATTTAAATAGCAAAGCATGAAGATCTGGTCTCAACTACAGTTTTTATTGATATAAAAGAAGCATTTGATCATGTTTTAAAGTCAAAGTTAATTCAGATATTGAAGATGTTAAAACTGCCACTTTCTCTAATAAAATGAGTTAACTGTTTTATATCTAAAAGAATTATACAACTTTTCTTTGATGAAATTAAATAAGACAAGACTGAGATAAAAATAGAAGTACTGTAAGAATCTTCAATCTCACTCATTTTATTTGCAATATACACTGCATATCTATTCAAAAATAGAAATATGAGAATAGTGCAATCTCTGAGTTATATGAATGATATTGATCTAGTCTACAGCTCAAAAACTATCAAAGAGAATTTGAAAGTGATTGAAGAAGCTGCAAAGAAAATCTTTGTTAGAGCAGATATCAATCAAATTCAATTTAATATGAATAAAACTGAGTTAATTCATTTCTTTTCTAGATTCAATGAGAAAGAACAATCTCTAACTCTTTTAAATAGAGAGATTAAGCCCAGTGTAAATGTCAAATAATTAGAAGTATGATTAAACTTCAAGTTGAATTTTAAATATCACATTTAACAAAGAACTGTCAAGGCAGAAAGACTATTGAACAACATAATCAGACTATCAAATACAGAGAGAGATCTATCCTTCCAGGCTATGAGACAGTTATATATAGCCTGTATTACATCAGTAGCTGATTATGAAGTTCAAGTTTGATGAAATAATCAAGAGAATTTCACTGAACTCTTTCAAAGTCTGTAAAACAGAGCCTTGAGAAGAATTCTGAGAGCATTCAAATCATCTTCTATTAAAACAATGGAAATTGAAGCTTTAATTTCTTCTCCTGCTATTAGATTTGAAAAGGCCTGTATGAACTATACTCTGAGAGTTATAAAGATGAGCTCAAATCATATAATCAGAGAAAGAGTCTCTTCTTCATTTTCATCAATTAACTCTTGAAATGAACTGAATTGAAATAGATTTCTTGATTAAAATGAAAATAATTCTTCAAAGAAAATACCTTCTTAACTGTACAGACTATGCTCTCTGATTAAAAATCAATTTTCTTCTTTAAATGTTGAAAAAGTTGATCATGAGAAGCTATCTCTCTGAAGAGAAAAGCTTGAATCTCTTATAGACTTATAAATAAGTGAACTATCAAAAGAGAAAGAATATAAACAGCATTTGAAGAGAATTTCTATAATTAATATAAAAGACTCTATTCTGATTTATTCAGATGACTCAAAAAATGAGAATTTGAATAGATTAGATGCAGGCATTGCTTATACTGAAGATAATATTAATTTTATCTCAGATTTCTGAAATCTAGACTGTGAATCTGAAGTCTTTGATACTGAACTATTTGTAATAGTGAAAGCTTTCAAACTCATTGAAATAAAATCTTATAAAAGAGAAAATAGTTTGAAAGAGATACAAATATTCTCTGATAGTCAAGCTGCTTTAAAAAGACTTAGAAATAGTCAGATTCATAATAATCAAATGAATCTTGAACTGATCTTAAACTCTGTTTTGAAAATTCAAAAGAGAAGAATATCAAAGCTGATAATTCATCTACACTGAGTTTCTGCTCATATGAATATTTGTGGCAATGAATTGACTGATTCAGCTGCAAAAAAGGGTGCAGAATTAAGCAGATCTATTCAAAAAATTATGTCCTGGTCTTTTATAAAGAGAAAAATAGAAGAATCTTATTTAGACAAGTGAAATGAAAGCTGGCAAAAACAAAAGAAGAGTATACATTATTCAAGATTTGAAACAAAACCCAAGTGAAAATCTTGTTCAATTAAATGTAAAAAGAAAATATTCTCATCTATAATACAGCTGAAACTAGGACATGGCTATTTCAAATCTTATATACAAAGATTTGATGATAGATTTGACTCAATAGAATACTCATTCTGCAATGCAAATGAGAATCCTGAGTATATTGTAATGCACTATGCATTATACAATAGTCTCAGAGCCAGATTGAAAGAGAAGTATAATCTAAATCAATTAAATATGAGATTCTTATTCTCAACTGAGACAGGAATTAAATACTTAATAGACTTTCTATCAGAAACTCAAGCAGCTATAAGAAAATGATTAAATTCAGAATTATCTGAATATGAAGAGAAGGAAATCAATCAGATATAGTCTGTTAAAACAGCTATATACTATCTTTTAATAATTTGTTTTATTACAGTCTCTCTTTACTTTATCTTTTTCTTTCAATTCCTTTCTATCTATCTATTTAATGTGTCTATCTTTAAGACTGTGTTCTCTTTTCCTTTGTCATGATATTGTCAAATGATTTCAAAGTATCAGAAGATGTTAAAACACTGCAATTTGTAAACAGGTTTTGTATTCTGATCTGGAATTTTCTGATTTTGCATATCTGAAATTGATGAATGTATAATAGTTAACTTTACAGATATAGGAAAAACCCTGAGAACTAAAAGTTCTCAGGTAGATGTCATAGTCTCTGACTGTATACATCTATAATTGAAGAATAATAATAATAATAATAATCACTTCTTCTGTTATATAGTCAGAGAAATCAGTCTCAACAACTGTTTCATAATCAGAATTAAATATTATCAGCAGAGAGATATTAATGAATATCTTCTTTATCTGTATAAATACAGCTTCAGTGTTCACTGATTATTGAAATACTGAGTCTTTCTTAGTGAGATCTGTAAGTGATCTCACAATATCTGAGAAGTTTCATATAAATCACTGATAGAAGTTAGTAAATTCAATGAAGCTTCATACATCTTTCACAGTATATGAAGCTTCTCATTTCAGAATGGCAGAGATCTTCTCAGAATTCATTCAAATTCTCTTAGCAGCTTCTATGATGAAACCTAAGTATTTAGTACTCTTAACTTCAAAATCACACTTATTAATATCAATTGATAGTTCTGCTTCTTATAGTCATTGTAATACTCTTCACACATACTCTTGATATTCTTTTCTGAATTCATTAGTGAAGATGAGAATGTTATCTAGATAACTAGATACAAACTTATCAAGAAAATCTCAGAGTGCTCAGTTAATATACTACTGAAATGTACTGAGAACATTAGTCAGTTCAAAGAGTGTGACTATTCATTCAAAGAGATTATAATATGTTTAAAATACTGTAAGTCATTCATCTTCTTCAGTAATATAAATCTTATGAAATGCAGTAATAATACCTAGCTTTATAAATCATTAAGCTCACTCAATTCATGCTAGGATTTCATTAATGAGAGATAAGAAATATCAATCTTTCTTTGTCAATCTGTTCAGATCTCAGTAGTTCACACAGAATCAGAGTTCTTCATCTAGCTTCTTTACAAAGAGAATAGAAGCTGCAGTGAAAGAGTTACTAATATATATAAATCTCTTATTTAACAGATCATTGAGTGTCTTCTGAAGAAGAAGAAGTTCATCTCAAAACATATTATAAAGAGAGTCTCACAGTGACTCAGAGTTCTTATCATTCTTCTTTTCTAACTTAATACTGTGATTTACTCCTGAGCCTTGTAAAGAAGGTATTTTCATAATATTATCTTATTGAAAGACATCTAGATAATCATGATATTATTGAGAGAGTTTTGTATAAGAATCTGTTATTATAACACAGAACAACTTTTCTAGAGTCTTCTTGATATTAGTCAGACAGACAGAATAGATTGATATATAATTCTACTATCAGTGAT